TTAAAATAAGAGCTGCTCCTTCTCATTGCTCTGAATTCCCCTGAGTATAAACGAGTCCCCTGACTCAGTTGAGTATTAACGCGGTGGATGTCCACGTCTGTAGACGAACATGAAGAATGCCGGAAGCAGGGGCCCACAAACACAATGGGAGGTCTGCCAGGATCCTGTCATTGTGGGCTGGGGTTGATGTAACACGAACAAAATATTTGGCAACGTGAAGCAAGGAGCCCTGGAGGGATGGGAAAAACGGAGCTGGCTTCCTGCCATCCGTGGGATCTTACATTTTACAGACTGAGTCATTTCCTTTGCTACCTGGGTATCATCAGGCAAAGTCTCCCCACTTAAAGGATGTGACCCGAGAAACCTACCTATGTGCCGGGCTGCACAGAGGGGTACACAGCCAGGGTGTCAGAGCAGACTGAGGGAGCCAAAGAGACACAGAAACACCCCAAAACCCAACTCACCCCCAACTCACCCCCTTTCACGGGGTAAAAGCTTTCTGAAGGCCACCTCTGGACGACTCTTCCTGTCTTGTGGGCAGGGACAGGCTCCCTACACTGTTCTGTGATGAGCCTCTTGAATTCAGCAGAGCCACACGGGTCCTTGGAGAGTCATCTCCCTTCCTGCCAGCACCACACCCCTCTACTGACAAACATCACCAATGCCAGGACACAAAGGGGCTTTCTGGCTGGTGGCAGAGTTAGCGTTGAGTGGAACAGGGGCTCAGCCACAGAACGCACACTCAGGCAGACGGGAGCTCTGGTTATATACCACGGCAGGCATAAAGATATGGGTGACTCAGAGAAGCTCAAACCTAATGCCTGGGACAGCACAAGCACTCAGAGTGACAGTGCTTACTGTAATTGTGACCGTCATCATCAACACCTATTACACTGGTGGTCACCACCACCATCACCATCATCGTCACCATCATCACCTTCATCACCATCATCTTCACCACCACCATCACCACCATCTCCATCATCACCATCATCATTACCTTCATCACCATCATCTTCACCATCACCATCATCATCATCACCATCACCATCATCACAACCATCACCATCATCACCATTTATCACCATCAGCACCATCATCATCACCACCACCATTTCCATCATCACCATCATCGCCACCATCACCACCCTCATCATCATCACCACCACCACCATCATCACCACCATCACCACCATCATCATCATCACCATCACCATCACCACCTTCATCACCATCATCTTCACCACCACCATCATCACCATCATCATCACCATCATCACCTTCATCACCATCATCACCATCATCACAACCATCACCATCATCACCATCATCACAACCATCACCATCATCACCATCTCCACCATCATCACCATCATCACAACCGTCACCACCATCACCACCATCTCCATCATCACCATCATCACCACCATCATCATCATCACCATCACCATCATCACCTTCATCACCATCATCTTCACCATCACCATCATCACCTTCATCACCATCATCTTCACCATCACCATCATCATCATCATCACTGCCATCACCATCATCACCATCACCACCATCACCATCACCACCATCACCACCATCTCCATCACCATCATCATGACATCACCATCACCATCATCATCACCATCACCATCATCATCACCACCCTCATCATCATCACCACCACCACCATCATCACCATCATCACCACCATCATCATCACCATCACCATCACCACCTTCATCACCATCATCTTCACCACCACCATCATTATCATCACCATCATCATCACCATCATCATCACCTTCATCACCATCATCACAACCATCACCATCATCACCATCTCCACCATCATCACCATCATCATCACAACCGTCACCACCATCACCACCATCTCCATCATCACCATCATCACCACCTTCATCACCATCACCTTCACCATCACCATCATCACCTTCATCACCATCATCTTCACCATCACCATCATCATCATCACTGCCATCACCATCACCACCATCATCATCATCACCATCACCATCACCATCACCACCATCACCACCATCTCCATCACCATCATCATGACATCACCATCACCATCATCATCACCATCACCATCATCACCATCATCATCCTCATCACCACCACCATCACCACCATCACTACCATCACCATCACCATCATCACCTTCATCACCATCATCATCATCACTGCCATCATCACCACCATTTCCACTATCATCACCATCACCATCGCCACCATCACCACCCTCATCATCATCACTGCCACCATCATCATCATCACCATCATTATCACCATCAGCACCATCATCATCACCATCATCACTGCCATCATCACCATCTCCACCATTTCCATCATCACCATCATCGTCACCATCACCACCCTCATCATCATCACCACCATCATCACTATCATCTTCACCATTACCACCATCATCATCACCATCATGATCATCACCATCATCACCATCACCATCATGACTACAGTGCTGATATCAAGCAGACTTTCTCAGGAAATGCTTAGCTTGCCCACACAATCTTCCTCTCAGAAATAACCAGACCCACAGTGGGTGTGCAGCCACTCATGAGCTGTAAGGACACGCAGCAGTCCCCAGAAGGAGCTCCGGGGAATGCCACTCTCAACTTCCTACCACTAGGTGACTGGTGGTCTTTCTTACGATCGGTACACATTCTACAAAGAGGGAGGGATCCTACTCACCTCTGGATGCTGAGGTCCCTGCACCCAGGTATTCCTTACAGCAGGGAGTGCACCTGAGACACAAGGCAGACCAGGCAGGGTCTTGCTGGAAGATACAGCACCTTGGAACTTTCCCACCCCTTTCCTGTCTGAGCAAGACTCAAGGTGGCTCTGGTCAGACATGTGTCCTTGGGGCCAAGCCTCAGGGACACAGACATGATGCACGTGTGGGGTGATGGCCACCAAGCTGGGCATGCCATGGGGCCTTTCAGACTCGCCGGTCCCTCCTGCTTGGCCGCATGTGGCTCAGCTCAGCAGCCCTGGCCTCCCCATCAAGGCTCGGGATCTGGAAGTTCTTCAAAGCACAGGTTTCTTGCATCCCCAAACCTGGAATGTTCCAGGACTCAAATCCAGTTGGTTAGCTACCCTGTTGGGACCTCCCCCGCCACCTAGTGATTTTTTTTTTTCTGTTGCTGGCTGATCCAGCCTTTTCCAACTGAGAAGTACAAATACTGACATTTAAGTTTAAAAATCAAACGGGTCCTGGGACCCCTGGGTGGCTCAGTCCTTTAAGTGTCCGACTCTTGATCTCAGCTCTGGTCATGATCTCAGGGTCCTGGGATCGAGCCCTGCTTGGGGCTCCCCTCAGCATGGAGTCTGCTTGAGATTCTCTCTCTCCCTCTGCCCCTCCCCTGCACATGCATGCTCTCTCTCTCCCCAAGGTCATTCATTCGTTCATACACACATACATATACGTAAATAAATAAATAAAATCTTGAAAAAAAAAACAAAAAACAAAGGGGTTCCAGTATTCTCTCTACCTACCAGGGAGGTAGAGTTCCCTTTCGCCTCAGTCTGAATGTCTGCGAGCTACAGACGTGAGCCTTCTTTTGCAGGGACCGTTATCAAGACAAGATGTCCCAGAACGAGCGGCAAAGCCTGCTCGTGGGCTGTCGTGAGCACACCTCTACACGGTCAAGCTCCTTTGTGGCCGATGCAGGGCAAGCCTCAGGCAGGCCGCCCTTCCCCGCTGGGTGCTCACGGAAGCCGTAGCCTCACTCTGGAGCCTCATGCCATGCTCCACCCCTGTCCCACCGCCGGGAGCCACTCCCTCGGAGTCGGCTCATGGCTGCTCGGGAGCAGGCCTCCTACCAGCAGCGGCCAGGGTGTCTGGGGCAGACCAGAGACCTCTTTCTGCTCTACCGTAGGTGACCCGTGTGACCTTGGGTGGGTCACTTCATCTACTGACACCTCCAAAAACTCAACTCTAAGACGGGCCTCTGTCCCTGCAGCCAAGGGGCCTTAAGGAGATGAAAGGGGTCCGGAGAACCCCGCCAGTGAATGTTAACCCGTCCGTCAGGGTTACGGGCTCAGCATGATGCGCGGCACTCAGGGTCAGACGCGGGAGGACAGGGAGGTGACAGCGCGCCCTCCTTCGTGACTCCTCCTGTCTTCACTCCTACAGGGACCCACGGAGCCTGCTGGCATTCCAACGCAGGAGAGCCTGGCCTCACGTGGACACCATGCTCGCAGCCTTTAGGCGGCCTCTGGGTCCACGCCCCTGCCTAAGAGCAGACAGGTGTCCAGAACGCAGCCCCCTCAGCCTCCCCAGACATCCGTGGCTCCCCGGCTTGGATGCCCGCCGGGCTCCATCTTCTGTGTGTGGAAGCACCTTCTCCACGCAGCCTTCACATACCGTTCCCTGCCCCTGACCCCCTCCCTCCGTTCCAGCACCCTCTGCCTGCTGGCTGGCCCCCACGCACACCTGGCCAGCTCTCTGGGGCCCCACAGCTTTATGCCTCCCCGACACGGACAGCAAGTCACAGACCCCACCCCAACATGAGGGGCACAGTCCCTGTGGGGAGCTCGGTGCACCCCTGCAGCGGTGGGGCCGTGCTGACTCAGGAGGTCTGCAAGGCCCTTATCCCTGGAACGTGTGGTGTGGGGACCAGGGCCAGCTGAGGCAGCTGTAATGGACAAGCAGTGCCCTCCGGGTGTCTGGCTTCATGAATGTGGGGACCCATGTTGGGATTCCCTCATCGGCGCCATCCTTCCCCACTCCTGAGTCTTCCACCCTCTGGGGCCTGCCGGACCCATGAGCAGCCCCCCACTCCCTGCAAAGCCAGCTAGGTGCACAGCTGCTGACCTGTCCCCACAAGGCTGGGCCCAGGGGCCCCCCTATCGCCTCTGCTGCCCTCCCCCAGACCCAGGACGAGCCCGGCACTCCTCTGCAAGGCCTTGTCCCATAAGACACAGAGGCAGACAAGTGTGCATCCCGTGGGACTCCCGCTCACCTTGCCGCACGGAGGCCCTGCCCGGGCCCTCTCCCGCGTCCTGCAGGCCGCTCGCCCGCAGCCTGCTGCCCACGCTGTCGGGGGGCATGGGGCCGTTGGCCTGGCTGCCCGGCGTGTTCATGTGGGTGGGGATGGGCTCAAAAGTAGGGTCCAGCTCCAAGATGAGCCTGTTGAGCTGCTCAATGGACTGGTCGATGTCCAGGGTGGGTGAGCCTGGGGAGGGGTCCGCGCTCGGCTCCGGTCCGGTCCCGTTCACGACTCTGACGTCTGGAAATCTGGGCTTGAACGCTTTGCCGGGAGGGGGCCGCTGCGCATCGGGGACATGGGGCGTGGGGCCCATGCCCCTCTGGAGGGCCACTCTGCCGCCCGCCCCCCGGGTGGGGGTGACCGGAACCCTGGGCTGGGCCTGCACCAGGCCGGAGCCGTCCTCCGGGCCGCGGCCGGCGAGCCTGGCCTCGGCATCGGGAGCGAAGCTATACTGGTGGGCGGCCACCATCTGCTGCTGGTGCACCCAGGTCTGCGTGGAGTAGCCGCTCTGTCCGTAGGCCTGCGTCTGGGCGGACACAGAGGGCCTCCGGAGCGCCGGCTGCAGATGCTTGGAGTCTCGGATCCCGAACGCCCGCTCCCGCTCGTACAGGGGGGGGTCCACGCCGAGGCTCAGGTCAGGGGCGAGGCTGCCGTGGGCATCTTCGCTGGGGTTGCTGCCAAACCCGTCCGACAGGAGGGAGTTCTGGCTGCTCTGGTGGCAGGTGAAGGGGCCCAGGTGGGCCGACTGGTGGCCCTCCGAGGAGGACAGGGTTCCGATGCTGTCCACACTGTGCAGGTCATGGCCGGGCATCTCGTCGTCCAGGATGTCCGTCTCCCGGTCCTTGAGCGTGGCGTCCCCGTTCACGTGCACCTGAGCAGGTACGACGTGGCGTGTCCCGCTGTACTTGCTGGGAGCATCGGTCATATCCTTGATGGGGCTTCCAGAATCTTCCAGGCCAAAGCCGCTGAGCAGCTGGTCCAGCTCGGCCTTCTCCTGGGGGCTCAGGCCCCGCCTCGACCCCACGGCAAGGTGCTCCTCGGTCCTGTCGGTCCTGACAGAGGCGGTGGAGTGGCCGGAGTCGCTGCTGACCGACAGGGTGTGGTCGCCGTGGTCTGGGCTGCCGGCGGCGGGGACAGCAGGGGGCCCTCCGGGGACGCCGGGATCCGAGGCGCTCTTCTTCCTCACCTTGGCATAAAGACTGCCATCGACGGGGCCCTGCATGTGCAGCACTGGGGGAAAAAACGGGAGACGGGCGGTAAGTCAAGGGTGGAAAAGGGGGCTTCGGGCTCTCGGGAGATGTGTGTGCATCTGCCCCAACAAATGAACTCCTAACAGACAGCTCACCATAATCGGAACGAGTACTTCTCTATGACCCCAAAAGTCTATCTGTGCCCCGGCAACACGAGCATCAGCAAAAGCAATTCAGATAGTCCAATAGCTTCAGGACCCAGGACCCTTTCTACCTTTTTGTGCAAAGAGAACCATCACTTAGAGAACCTTCTGGATTCTCTGCACTGGGGAGTCATCTTGCCCTGAGGGTTCAGAGTTTATTTCGTCATTTGCGTGAATGCTGAGCACAGCTGAGCTCCAAAACCCCCAGGAGTGAAGAAGCGGGGCGTGGGGTGCAGTAGACGGGGCAGGGCCCTGACTCTCACGGGGAAAGAGGCAGAAACCCATCTCCAGGCTTCCAGACTTCTCGACAGCGCAGCGTCCCTCCACTGAGAAGGCCCGATGAAGGCACAGCAGGACCCAGGACACCGGGAACATCTTTGTGCACTGGCCTCCGCCCGCCAGGACAGTCAGGAAAGACGAGCCAGGCCGCGAGGGGGGCGGGAAGATGCGGTTTCCCACGGTGACACGGCAGAGTGCAACAAGGGGGCGGCCGAGGGCGGCGCCCATGCTCTTTGGGCACCTGGGAGCCACCGTGTGCCCGCGGCGACTGGGCCTCCGGAGGAACCTGCCCTGGACTCAGGCTCCGGGCTCCAGCACGGTCAGCGGCTCCCAGCAGTTTTGGAAATGGTGGGGTGACGACACAGGACCAAGACCTGCGGGGTATCGGGGACTCTTGTGTGGATGGCACGCATGACCCCGGGCTTCCTTCCTATTTCAGCTGTGCCCAGGAGAAGCAGGACAAAGGCAGTGTGCAACCCCATCGACCCGCATCTAAAGCAGAGCGGGGTGGGGGGATGACCCACAAGATCCCGTAAATACATCAAGCGCCCGAGAACGACACCCAGTGGTGGGAGCTCAACGGGCAGGGGCTGCACTCAGACTCAGGGTCATCAGGGCAACGCTAGCTGCATTCCTGAGCACCTGCTAGAGGGCAAGCATCAGCTCGCTCTGATTATCGCAGGACAGCCTGTCTAGCGAACAAACGTGCTCCTTTCTCAAACGTACAGAGCTGATGCTCCACGAGAATCTGAAACTGGCCGAGGTCAGGAACCTGCTGGGAGGCGGAGGTGGGACCACAACCCAGGCCTGTTGGACCCTGGGCACCAGCGGAAAGGCGGCTCTGTGGGATCCACGCCAGAGGACCCCGCAGAGACCCTGGATCCCACGGCTCCCAGATGAGGGGCCTGAAAAAGCATGCGTTCAACTCGGCTTCTGTGGGAGACACCCCGCCCTCGGCACCAGGAGGTGCCCACCTCCATAAGCCCCACCGATCACACGCCTTCCCTCCATCAGCAGAGTGCAAGGCCAGGGGCGGCTCTCGGCCCGGGCTCTGTTCTGTGAGAATCAGACCCCACCAGGACGGTGCCGGAGGGCTCAGAGCACAGCCAGGCGGGCATCTGTGAATTCTAGACGTGCATCTCATGCCGCCGCAACTGTGACTTCCAAGTCCTTCTCCCTAAATCCCAATTAAATGCACGGACACCATGACTCAAACAACAAAAAAGGAAGCCAGGAAGGAATGGTACAGAAGTTCTTCTAATTTAAAATGGGACACTAGGCAAAAGTGCCCATTAATCGCCCTGAGTTAGAACCCCTTAGCCAGCACCACGAGGAAGGGTCTGCACGATGTGGTGAAGGGCAGGAAATCCCCTTGCCTGGGGAGTCACGAGTACCCTTATCATTATTTTTGTCAGCAGGAGCCGTCGCAAGAGAATAACAAACGTGTTAAAGCTACGTGGTTACCGCAGACCCAACACTCTGCGCAAGGCCCAGCACTCAGGACATCGGATCTGCAGCTCTCGGGGGCAGAAGGGGGGGGCACTAAGGGGCCTTCCCACGGGCAGCACCGGGATGGGATGCAGACAAACTCCAGCATGGGCTCTCACCTGAATTCCCCACCATGCACATGCGGATTACAGGACTCACGTTACATCTCCAGGGATGGAACAGGATCCACATCCGTGAAGCCCCAAGACAGACCTGCCCAAACCTGCAATCCCTTTGTAGGAGCTCGGACCTTCCCAAAGGCACGGGATGTGTCCCCAGACGCACCCACTTGTGATCTTGAGGGGGGGCGTTGGCCACAGGACGAGGGAAGGGGAAGGGGCGTCTGGCCCCCACCCAGTACTCTGAGCAAAGGTTTCCATCCACTATCACAAGAAAGAACCAGACTGGTTTTTCAGTGGGAGGAACGCAATGGCCTGCATTCCCATCCTGCATTTATGCTCCGTGCCTTCAGCTCATACTGAGACTGTTCCAGCCCCTGGTTCCTCATTTACGAAATAGAGTGAAATAGAGTGATTATCTCAATCTTTAGTGCGGTGGCCAACAGGCCATAATCACTAAGAAGAGCTCTGTCCACGGTGGGTGGAGCCCAGCACTGCCTCCAGGCCTCATTTCCAGCCTGACCTTGCTGCTCCCAGACCCCAGCAGTCACACACCTGCGCCTGCCCCAGGGCCTTTGCTCTTGCTGTTGTTCCCTGCCTCCACTGCTCTCTGTCCTGGCTCCCCCACCCTCCTCAGCAGGGCTTCCTGGGGGGCTTCCGTCCTCGGCACACCCACATCCAGACACACTGTGTCCCCCATGGGAACACAGGCTCCGGGAGGGCTGGGGGCTTGAGCACCTGTGTTACCCCCCAAACTGGGGAATAGACCCTGGCACCTGGTGGGCACTGAGTAACTAAGAGAACCAATGTTCTAGCATGTTCTCACACAAGAAAGACCGGGGGACTGTTCTGGAAAGTTCCTCTACCTTAGTGGGCCAAAGAACTGAAAACAACCAACCAGCCCGAAACAAACACAGAGCATCACGGTGTGAGGGCAGAAGTGCCCGCAGCCCCGGGGCCCCCACCGTGAGCCTGGCCCGCGACAGCCGCGGCTCCTGACGTGGCCCGCTGGTCTGCACGCACCGCAGAGGTACCCGAGGTCGCCCACACCGAGGCTCCAACACGCCCAAGAACACACACGTGCTTAACGTGCAGGTGGCCCAACGTGCCCGTCGGCGGGCGGACGGGCCAGACGCCCAAGGGGCGCCCAGAAGTCCCGGGGCGCTGGCCCAGGGTGCGACAACGTGGGGGGCATGCAGTGGGTGCGTAACAACAGCACGGTGTCTTTGCCACTCCCGTCTCCCGCACCGGCCTGCCTTCCCCTTGCTCGAACCCGCATAGCTGAGTCTTCCCACCTGCGGGCGGCCTGTCCCTGCGCCGCACGCGGGAAAGGACCAGCTCCCCTGCGTGGGGCCGCCGCTGTGCTTCCCGACACCCGGCGTGGACGCTGCACTCAGGGGCTCGCACAGCCGCCTGCCGAACCCTCCCCAGGAAACTAATAGGAGCCTCGTCCCCGCTGTGCGGAGCCCCCAGGGGCTTTGCTCAATCCTTAGGGGCACCCTTGTTTAGTGATGGCAGAGGGCCCCTTGGCATGTGGCCGCGGCCTGGAAGACAGGTGGAAAGTATTATTCCAGGGCCCAGGCGCAGCCCAGACTCGGGCTGGGGTCCCGGGTCCCCGGTGCCGCCACCGACCCCCGGGGGTCAGGGAGGGCACGGCCCCTCCAGGGAAGGAGGCTCCGGGCTTCGAAGCTCTGCACCTTCTCCAAACCCATCTCCAAACCCAGTCGCTACAGAGTGGCCCCTGTGGAGTGGGTGTGGGGGCAAGGACGGAGAATTCTAGAAGGTGCAGCCGGGGGCTTACTCTGCCTACAGCTTCTCGGTTGGGGACACGGGGACGACAGCCTTCACTGGCCCAGCGCCCCCTGCCCCCAGCCATTCCCCCTCCGTGTCACCTTTCCCTTCTCTCTGCCTCCACCCCTCCACCGGCCAGAACCCAGGGCTCCTTTCAGAAGGAGGCAGCCAGGGCCTAGTTAAAAATCAAACGAATGTACATACAGCTCTGATTAGGGCTGCATGACACAGCAGGAGGGTTTATCATGTGGAAAAGAACAAGAAGGAAGACAACACCCGCAGAGCAGTGCGGGAGGCCGCAGACCCCGCCCCAGCCCCGCCCACCCCCACCTGACCTTGAGAGGGGGCGTTCCCACAAGGAGGGAGCAGGCACTCCACCATTTCAAAAAGAATGCAAGAAAATGGGGGAGACCAAAATATTAACAGATGAAGCAACCCCCACCTGTGCGTACAGGTGTGTCAAAAATCAGCCAAAGGGTCGGCTGAATCCCCACTCCGCCTCCTTCCAGGCTGATCTGGGATTGGTCCAGCCGCCTGCTGGTCCCGCTTCCAACAGAAGTCCATTCCAACCAGAGACCAAACCGGACAGGTTGATTTAGCTCCCGGGACTCCTTTCTGTCTCCCGCGTCCTGACCACGGATCTCAGCTGCTACTGTCGGGCCAGGTTCGCTTACAAAGCCAGTTCTCATTTCAGAAGAGCTAACAGGGGCCTCCCTGCAAGTCTGCAACGGAGATAAGCGGAAACTGCCCAAGGCCTGTCCGCCCGAGGGAACCACGCACTCGCCCCAGCCGCGGGCTGCTAACACAGATGCAAGAGGAGGACTCCGCAGAATCCCTACTGCGCGCTCAGGACAGACCAGGCCGGGGCACGAGGACAGAAGCAAGAGGAGACGGGGTGGCGGGCACATCTCAGGCATCCGATGGGTGGACAGGGGCAGAAGGAGGGAGCAGGACGCGAGGAGGCGCGCGCGTCCAGGGTGGCGGCTGTCAGGGGAGGCTGTGTCCGCAGAAGAACAGAGATGCGGAGATGTCCTCCAGCAAACGGGATGACGTTCTGAAGACCAGGCCTCTATGTGTGGGGGAGGAGGGGGTGACGCCCCAGGGATGGAGCTCACTGAATTCCCAAAGCAATGCTGCGAAGCAGGAATCGGAAAACCCGT